ATGGGTCTGTGGGAGGTAATTGGCAGCAGGCGGTCTCTCAAGTACCCAGATCCAATACTATGAAGGGCTTTGTAAGTTACAAATGTTATATGTAACATTTGTAGGAAAAGAATTTACGGAAAGAGTTTTATATAGGCTATCCTGAGTTTCCAGATGGAAGACAGAATTTAAAGTTCCCACATACAATAACAGGGGATAAGTATGAATAGGACTGTTGTTTATACATAATTCTCAGGATTTCTTCTCTTCCCTGGGAAATGGAATAGTAAAATTAGACTGGCAAGAGAACCAGCTTTGGGTTGCTGGGGGATAAAGGTGACTCCTGGTTTAAAAATGCCAAGATTGCTGAATATGCTGCCAGGTAAGAATTTTAGCCAATGTTGAAAAATAAGCAGGTAATACAAAGAATCCAACTCCTCGTTTTAGGTATATAAAACAACCTCTTTATTAGTGAAGGAGAGCATCATAAAAAAATCACCACAGTGAGAATACAGCTCAAAGCATTACAGGAGAATGATTTTTCAGACATTGTATTATTGCAATATAAGGTAAGGGGGAAGGAATTGAGCAAAGCGGCAAGCTATAGCTATTCAACAGAATATACAAAGCTACCTCGTGCCTGGATGTTCTTTGCATCTTCTTTGGTGTAGTAAAGATGCTCCTCATTCAAAAAGCAGGAAGTGTCTGTTTTATTGTCCAAGGGGTCCTCTAAAAATGTGTATCACCAGAGTACTTTCATTTTGATTTAGTTACTTTTTCCTAATTAATACTCTTAATTGTATAACCCCCCCAATGAGCCTGGCCAAATCTACCTTAAAGCCTTTAGGAAGATAAAAAAGAAAATCCTGCAACTATATACAAGTGGTACAATACACTTTGCAATCAAGGTAACTATTATTACATGTCCTGTTTAGATACCATGTTTTTCTGAAAAGAAAAAGCATAAACATTTAGCCCCTAGAAAGGGTTGGATGGCAGTAAAGTAGAAGGGAAAAAACAGCTTTATCTCTGCCTCTTGTTTATTATTCTTAAAATCTTTCAGTGTACAATGCTTTAAATGATGGTTATAGTAGATGCCAAAGCTGTATTTGTCATCACCAAATTGTTTGGTTGTTTTCTTTTTTTTAAGTGCACTGGAAACACCTACAGCCAATTCATACTATAGTAGACACTCCTGCATTTCTTTTTTGATAGCAGACTAAGCAGTTGGAAAATTTTTGTTCCCTGAAAGGAAGAGTTTTAAGCCTTAGTTTCAGGTTTTCATGAAATTAAAGCCTATGTCATTTAAAAAAATAAAAGCTTTAATTCTTTTTTTTTTTCTTATGGCAAGATCAGCATAAAATTGTTGCTGATTTAGATCAATGGTCAAACATGTTCAGCATCATAGTTGCCACAGTGGTTGATCTGACATTTACAGAAAATACACAAGACAATATGGGGGCAATTACTTCTCTTGGTTTTGCCCTTCAGAAAATGGAGGATGGTTTTAGAAGCATGAAGCACCGGTCCTTTAAGCTGTTCGTACCGGTAGCTATTGTAACTAGAAGTCTTACCTTCTTGCATAAACTTGTTCACAAAATTCCACAGTAGGGCACCTTCTATAAACATTTCTCACATTCAACAAGAGTCACAAGATACCTACTCTTTATTTTTAAAACAAACACAAAGCACATCTTAAATAAAGATGAGAACAATTATGAAAATATTGCTGAAAAGTGGATTTAAGATGATAGTATCATCTGGAAAAACAGCGGTGAGGGAATTGCTCTGTTATTCTCTACCTGTTAGTCACACATTAAGAGCTAGAGTATGTATAGAAAAATACTTTTGCATAATTCTCTTCAAATGTTCAAGAGAAATATATGATTAGAATCCTCACCCTCAGCGTTATAAAAATGTGGTGAAAGGGTTTTTGTTCATAATTCAGATGGCTTTTGAAAATTGTAGGCCCAAACATCGATGTATGGACTGCTGTTGAAAGAGGATGCAGAACACCCAAAATGTCATAGGCAGTTTGAGAACATCCTGTGTAGCTTAAGGAGCCTGCTGCTAACCCCTGGATTTTGTGGTTCAAGAACCAGTTTTGGTTCATGTAAACACTTAGCACAGAAGTAAAATAGACATGTTTAATCACAAAAATCTGCAACAGCTAAACATTTCAGCAAGGAAGCTTAAAACCAGCTCTAGAATTTTCTACAGAATTCTTGATTCTGATTTCAATGTAAGAAGAGCTAGAATTCCTCAAAAGAATTTCATCATTTGTATGTCTACTTAAGATGAACTAGGAATCTTGGGGACTTGAAGGCCAAACATTAACTTGGTAGAGAAATTATTCCAATTTGGGGAGAAGGGTATCTGATATTTAGATTTCTCATATCTATATCATTTCTATAAATGCCCTTAGGAATAGGAACACAGAAGAAAACCACATTTGGGGCTAATTTCAAATGGTTTGTAGACTTATGCTATTAGCAGGTAAGTAATTTATAAAGGACATTATACTATTCTGAGAAAGCTTGGAATGAAGAAGCCCCAGTTCCCCAGACTTGGAGAAGGGAAAAGGAGCACATTGGATCAAGCAACAATAGGATCAGGAAAACAGTCGTCTATAACTTCCTGGGCTGCATTGTCAATTGTGTCCTCTTGGAACTCTGTTTCTGTCCCCACTTTCTCCTCTTTTCTGCATTCTGATTTCACCTCAGGTCCCACTGGAGGATTTGGATCCTCCTTATGGTCCGGTTTGAAAGTTTCACAGATTTGTGCACCTTTAAAAGAATGTCAGGAAAATTCATAAAGTAATAATTTAGTATTGTGTACATTTTCTTAAATCTTTCATCAAATCTCCATGCTGTCTTGCTTTTCATTCTTGTACATGACCCTAACATGAGAACTGAATTCTTGAACTTAAAAGTTTATTTCTTGTGAAGCTGTTTATGGATTAGTTAAGCTCCATTTATTTGAGGAAGTCTTCAGGAAATCATAGGATATAACTGTTATTATTAGAAGGAAAATCTATATCAGTTTTACTTCTCCTGATGTTGTGAGAAAGCATTTGACAAGGAATTCTGGGACACAACCCATTTTAGCAAGTTTGCTTTGCATAAACAATTGCTTAAAACAATACATGTACTTATAGAACAATCACTACATAGAAACTGTTACAAGATTTCTTATTACACTTGCAATAAGTGCAAAATATGGCTTACTTCAAAGGATACTGGAAAAAGTTGTATTACCATAGCTCATCTCCATGCCAAAGTAGACAGTAGGGAAAACAGCTTTTAGAACAACACAGTTACATTTACTTTCTGTTGTATAATAACAACGCTCATGTCTCTGTACTTACTAGTATTGGGAGTACTATCAACAAGAACATCTGTAATTTCACAATGGTCTCCATTAGGAGGAGGATTTGGTCTTTCACTAGAAATGGCAGACATGGTTATGCCCTCATCCTTTTCGTCTTCTGTAGAAAAGCACAGTCAGAAACTGAAAACTGCAATTCATGGGTTTTTTTTATTCTTAATGTGGAACAGAGATATGCTTCAGTACTATACCCTTTGTATCTGGAAAGAAGTCCTAATGGGCTTTATGACGGTCATATTGTTGTCTTATTAATTTATTATATTTGTTTGCCACCCATTTCTCTGCAAGGCAATTCTTGTGGTTTACAACATCAATATACATATATATCTTATATATTAGGGTTTAGTGAAGCTTTGAGGGATGTTTTGATCTGATGAAGATTTAAATGAATATCCACATGAGCTGTTTTGAAAAGAGTGAAACAGTATGACCATACTCTTACACAGGGGTGTCAAACTCATGACCCACAGGCCAGATGTATCACAGGCTGTCCATGCCCACCTCCAGTTTAGCAAAAGTGGGAAAATCACAATTCATGTGACAATAACATTACACTGCCAGTTTGACACCCCTGCTCTTACACATGACTCTGTTTGAGAGCCTATGTTTTTCCCATAGCATTATGCTACATCACAGAAAAGAGCTTTCTTTTATTTTTGGCAAATGGTCTTGAGTGGTCTTGGACAAGAATGCTTGTTCTATGAAGCTAACCAAGATCCATCAACAATGAATGACTTTAACCATCATTATATGATTGCCAGTCAAAAGCAACTTAACATGTGTTGCCACGGGTCTTCCAGTTCCAGGCCAACTTTGGCAAACATGGGAACACACTGAGATTGCACAGCCTGGAGTTCTTCCAGACTATTTGTCAACTGCTTTGGTGAAGGTCATGCTCTGGTGAATGCTCTGCTTACAATAGTCAGCTTGGTAAGTGGTCTGAGAAGGTAACCAACAGCAGCAGTATTCATCAAAGATGGAGATGTCTTCCATAAAAATATCTGCTAATTATTTTCCAATTCTCCTAAAGGAAGTTTTTAATAATAAATATAAATGGGAAAAAACTTCCTGTCTAGTTTTTTCTGATTTTCTTCATTATTTTGTTTAAATACTTGTTTTCAAATAAGCGTACATGGGGCTGCATTTCTTGTGGCCCGCCAGCGACTGCTCTGCGTCGGAGGCAGAGATGGGACCAGGGCTGTTTGACAGTTATCAGCTGCCTTCAGAGTCAGACATCAGTGAGGCAGACAAACAGCTGGAGCCTGCTGTGTGCATGCACAGAGTTGCCAGACGAAGGGAACAGCTAAGGAACAAGGGTCGACTTGGGAGTAAAGCCACAGATGGACAGTGAGTGGCCCCTCCCATAGGGAATAAAAGAGGAGCGAATGGGGGTGTTTGCAGGAGACTATTAGTTCATTCCTGCATTCTTGCCAAGTATTGCAGCATCTGAAAGATAACGGCCTGGCCATTCTCCAAGCCTGATAAAAGTCGGTAATTGTGAACTACCTTGAAAGACTGTTGGTCGGGACTTTGCTGGAGAGGAATTCACTGTAAATTAAATAAAAGGGACAAGGACTCGGCTTTGTGCTGCTGGGGAAGCCTAAGTCAGAACAGCATTATGAGACACTACTTCAATGAGAAAAAAGCATTACTCACCCACAGGGACCCGAACAAAGTTGTGCTTGGTTTTCATGCAGCAACATGTGATCAGTGAGGCTGTGACGGCTAGCAAAACTGCACCACCTCCACAGGCTGTTAGGACATACAGGAAGAGTGGATTTTGCAGCAGATCCCCTGGTAGAAAGAAAGAGATGGTCTTTAGCAGTTGACAAAGTAGAAGAAATCAGTGCTGGTTTTCTAAACATTAAACCGCATCAGAACTAGAGCTGATGTCAGATGCATCTTGACACTAAAAAAGGCAGAGTTTTATTTTTTTAATGTTTAAATATATGCACTGAAATATTATAAAATGAAAAAGATTCACAAAGCATATATATCTTATGCCTTAAATAAAATTAGTGCTACGTATCTATTCATGTCAAATTCCACAATGCTGAGGTCAGTTTATTATATTTTATTTTTCACATTTCTGAACTCAAAGAGGGTCTCTGGGTGGTGAAAGAAGGATTTTGGGTGGTGATTTAACAACTAGAAGCCAGAATAAAACATATGAATTAATATACATAGACCAAGTTTTTTATTAGTTTTACAAAGGGAATTCTGGACTGTAAAATACTTATTCAGAAAAAGAGGAAACTGTCAATGTCGTGAAATCTATCAATTTTCTCCAAAATAGATGCTATTCAAAGTAAGTTTTTATTAAATTAAAATAAATTAAACAAAAATCTATATAACGCTGAAAGAATAATTAACAAATATATATTTGATATAATATCAACATGTTATAGCAACTCCTTTTATTTCACATATTAATTTTGTTCTGAAAACTCACTGCTTTTTGTAGATTTTTTTGTGTTTTTGCATTAAATGTGAATTGTTTGGAAACCAATTAGGAAATAATTGAAAATGAATATTGCTTTTGTAGTTGCCGAGCTCCAGATTTTAATTATCTGGAAGTGATCCAAGTCCTTCTCAATTTTATCCCCACTTTAAATATGGATCTTTGAAGGGGGAGTTTCCATTCCTGTTTGGTTTCTTTCCTCTTTGCTATCGTTTATTCTTTATTTTTGTATCCTACTGTACTTTTTTAATGTATTTGTGAGACACCCAGAGATGTTGAGAGTCAGACAGTAAACAAATTAAACAAACAAACAAAAAAACTTTTAATATAGCTGAGTAAGCATCGAACTGCTTGAAATCTACCTGCACGATATTTTTAGAGATTTGGATTGCATATTCTAGTATATATGCTTAATCCATGGGGCTAATTTTATTTTATTTATAAGAGTTGTGATTTTATGAGGTTTTCTCTCTTTTTTCTCTTTCTAGTTGCAGCAATTTATAGTAATTTTATTTATAGTAATAAATGAAAATAGCATAACATGGCTTGCTTGCAATCTGCTGTGCATGGGAAGACTATAACATTTTCCTTTTCTGCAGCAGTTTGGAATAATTCCCCCCTCCCCACACACACACAGAAACTGCTGCTTGCAGGTTAGAAAATCTTCCACCAGTGTCTTCCACTGACTTAGACGCAAAGGCCCAATTAGACTCTCTTTCTGCAGCTCACTGAATCCATGCTTTTTCACCAATTTTCCAATTTAGCATGCTGTCTAAAACCATTTCAGTGTGTTCTGTGTATCTATAATAATTGGATTGAGAAAATCATCCAGCTAAGGTAACTATGAGTCAATTGGTTTGTGAATATAATCTTAGTGTCACTTCTGGTTCATTAAAAAGGAAGGAAAAGGAACTTTCTTAATTTGAAGAAGAAAGTCTTGGCAAGTAATCAGAATAGGAGGGATCTGTCACCCCTCTGGCAAGGCAATCCACTGGCAGCTGAGAGAGAGGAAGGCTAGAGGAAACTCACATGGTCATGATATAAACTTTGTCTTCTACGATTAACAGTAGGAAGAATAAGTGTGGGTCTATACTTTGTATTCATTAGAGCAGGCTATTTCTTTGGTCAGCTGATATACTATACACCAGATCTTTGAATCACAAAATTATCATGATCATAATGTGAGAGATACCCTCAGCTTAATAGCACTGAGTTGAATGCTCAAGGCAATGAAATTTCCTTGACTTTAACATACTATTTTTATAAAATACCTGCCAATATCAACAGTTGCAGAAACCAAAGACAAAATATTTTCTACTTTAATGTTTACATCCTATAAAATACTAATAAAAGTTTAATAATGTAAACAATTAAGGATAAAGTTATTATTAATTCATTGATTCCCTTATTTATTTGGATTATTCTATGTCAGTGTTTTGTCAGAGCTGCTATCCGCAAATAGTTGTGTGTGGTTTTGATATTTATGATTCAGTGACTGATGCACAATCCCCTCAGAGATAATTCTTTATGCTCTTTTGCACCTTGCAATCGTGATAGAGTATAAACTATAGGAATTACTCAGGGGTGGGTTCTAGCAGTCACTATTGCCGGTTCACTCGTGGGTGTGCCACGCAATAAAAATTGTTCTGCACGTGGGCAGAAGCAAAAAACAAGATGGCGTCAACCTACAGTGCCACTCAGAGAACCTGTTTGAGAGTGTGGCAGGCCTGGGTCACTGCCTGTTCCAGCGACCCAGTCCACCAAACCACTACCGGATCGGCTGAACCAGTCCGAACTGGTAAGGACCCTCCACTGGAATTACTCAATGTTAGTTCAAGTATAAGCCAATCTTAACAAAGAAATCATGTTAGGCTAAGGCTGAATAATCTAACAAACACAGTTTATTTATTTTATTTTTATCCGTCCTTTACTATTTTTATACATAACTAAAGGTAGTGAACCTGGATAATAGTTCCTCTTCTTCCTATTTTCTATACTACAACACCCTGTGATATAGGTTGGGCTGGGAGAGAGGGAATGGTACAAAGACACTTGGCAGGCTTTGATGCCTAAGGTAGGACTTGAACTCATAGATTCCCAGTTTCTAGCCCACTACCTTAACCATTAGACTACTCCAGACTCACTTTGTTTGTGTATTTGCATCAACAGCCAGGTATTTTATTTTCTGATATAGTTGTTGAAAAATTGAGTTTCAAAGCAATTAGTGAGTTTGCACGCAATATCTAGAGGATTTTTTGTGGGGTGACCTTGTTAATTATTTAATTTCTTTAAATAGTGTCATCTAGATTATACTAATGAAAAGCAAATTATTTTCCCTGAATTATACATAATTATCATATTTTCAAATATCCATAATATCTAATCATATCCACATCAGACCATCGATGTAGCCTTTATTTCTCTCTCTCTCTTTGACTCCCTTTTTTCTTACATCCAAACTAGGACTCAGGAAAATAAATACAGATGCAGAAACTGTAGTAGCCAGATTCAGTGTCAAGTTTGGAATACAGCAGAGGTGGGTTGCTCCAGGTTCGGCCTGAATCGGGCGAACCTGTAGTGGCAGCAGGAGACTCCGCCTACCCACCCGGATGCTTCTGCGCATGCGCAGAAGCAGCAAGAGTACACGCGCATAAGCGAACCAGTAGTAAAAAAAGGGAAACCCACTACTGGAATAAAGGATGAACTTCATAGGAGCTACATGCTAGAGGATTTTGAATTTAGAAAAGCCAGGATAGGGCCAGATTGCTGGTGGTGATATTAGATCATCACTCTGGCATAATCACATCTAATGAGTGCATTTACTATTCCCCATTGATCACAAGTGCTACCTTTTTATCACTTGTGCTGCTTGGTATTTGAAGAAATAATTAGGAAGATTAAAATATGAGAAAAGGGAAGAGTTCGCCTTATCATTTACACTACCTAAACAAGATCTGTAGTCTCACACTAATGCGGAGGAGAATAGGATTTGATAGAAATAAACAATTTTCTCTGGCCAGATTAAATGAAGGATACATAAAGGAATAAAATATGCTTAGGTGTATATTTATCTATATAACTCCAATAAGACAAGTTAGATAAAATATAACTTACCGTTATCACATTTCATTTCAACAGGAGAACTCTTACAGTGATTTCCTCTTTGGCAAACGTACTTGCCATGTTTACCTTTTTCCAAAATAATTCTAGTGCCATTATCCTTGATACAGCCATCACTTACAGGATTTCCATTCAGAGTCCAATGAACATTGTCATTGAATTGGCCACCTGTTTCACACAACAGGCTGATTTTTCCATTAGGCAAGCAATGAATGTGAACAGTTGGAAGCAGATCTAAATGATGGGATATCAACAATCAGAAGGGAGAGAAGAATTCAATAGGTTATGGCAATAATGCTGTTTCAAATATATAAAATAAAACATAATAAAATGAATAAAAAACAACCTGATTTAATGGTCATAGGAAAATATATCAGAATTTTGCCCTGGGTAGTTTTACAAATAAGAAGCTTTTATTCCAACAAAAACCTTATCACATTTCATTTTTATAAATAAAAGATGCACAGTGTGTCTTGCTAACATGTGGTATACCTCCTGATGTGTGGTATCTCTTTATTCAAAATCATTCAACACCAAATTACTATGCTTTTCACAAAATGTCTATCAACTTCTTTACTTAGAAAAACTACAATTGCACATACTTGAAAAATCCTCATAGATTTTTCCTATTCTCCTGGGAAAAAAAAGATTTTTACTATTCTGTGCCTCCTGGAAAATAATATTTTTTCTACACAAATTATTGTGGAGGGGGTAGGGGATGAAGTCTAGGAACTTTATAAAATAAATCACATGATAATACAAATATAACATAGTACTTCGTTAAAGTTGAAATGACACTGCGATGAAGATATAATACAGGTAGCCCCTAGGTTATATTCTGCAACTTTCAAAGTTATGACTCCACTGAGTATGTGATACATGACCAGTCCTCAGATTTTCAGCTGTCACAATGTCTTTGCAGTCACCACTCACCACTGCAACATAGCAGCAAACTGTGGTCATGTGATTGCAATTTTCTATGTTTCTGCTGCCTTTCCACAAGCAAATTCAACGGGGAAGCTGTCAGAAAGTCAGAAGTTGTGGCTACATGAGGTCCTCATTTAATGAGCTGCATGGTCTTTGCATAACAAAATCAACCAGAACTGCTACATGAACCCACAATATCACATGTTTTTTAGGGATGGCAATTCAAATCCCAATTGCCTTCATAAATTAGTGGTAGTTGAACCTCAGCCAAATGGCAAAATATGCAAAATGGAATTGAGTTTTTAAAGAATACTTATGTTCTTCAAACATTATATCCATGACATTCCTCAACTGGCCACAGCTCATATATTAACACTGAAGGGAAGGGTAATAAGTTCCCCTCCACACTGAACATTCCCCTAGTTACTGGGTTTCTTCAGCTCTACCAAATTCAGAACAATTCTGCAGCATTTTATCTATGATATCAGCAGTTTTCACTTGATGAGAATTTCCCATCTCATCCTGACTCAATTGAAGCCACAGCACCATATCATTCATTTTTAAATTAAGTGACCAGTTTTGACTCCCAGTGAAAACAAACACAATGACTTACTGAAAAAGATTTGAATGGAGATGGGGAATGAGAGAAGTGTGGAAATTAGCTTTTATGCTTTCCCCTGGTCACCTTTGTGGAGTACTGAGTGTTACAAGGATGACACTGTTGAGAAAACTGAAGAATGTGTGATATACCTCATAGTTCATTCTGCATCTGTTCTCTGCATCTCTGACTTGTCAGCCAGGCTATTTTTGGACACAAGTCAGCAGTTCTTCAAAAAAAGTAATAGACCCATGTTCAGAAATAGCCTGACTGACAAGTCAAAGACTTGTGAGAGGCCTCTGAATGTTCCTTCCTGCCTCATTCATGCCTATGACTGTCAACAGAATCACCAGACATAAAGACAGAACATGGGCTGAAGCAGGGGGAAAAGATCAATAATGAGTGAATTCTATTATTTATTTCCAGAGAATGACAGAGCTGCTAGCAAATTACCTTTTCTGCAGCATTTGTAAGTAGCAGGTTAATTTGGCACAAAACACACACATGCCAGCGAAGTAATAAATACAGTAGAAGCATGGCCACAGGAAACACCTTGTCAACAGAAATAATACAACAACTGAAGCACTCATTCGTGATAGGGCCCGGCTGCCTTTCCTGGTTTAAACTGTTTTTTGCCCAACTCAGGTCTAGCATTTTCTCAAAACAGCACTAAATCTATGTATAAAAGAAGCCTGGGCAAGCTTTACATGCTGTAGGTGGATGATTCAGAAGCCAGATGTCACAGCTCATCTGTACACAAGGCTCAAATGAACACAGAAGACAATGGCCAGCAAGTACACAGAAGGGTCTGTGACTGCAGCAGAATGAAGTGGCCAAGTAGAGCTGGACAAATCCCCCTAACAACTCTTCCATCAACCATATACTTAGTGAGATATACTGGATTGTGTACAGGGCAGAAATTGTGCTGTGACGGAAGGAAATCCACAATAGAGAAACTAAAGATGAATTGAACGGCATCGATATGGGCTCAGGATGAATGAAGTCAACATTATGAGGAAATGTATATAAAATATTTGTAAAACAAATGGATAAAAATATTCTTGCCAATATTATAGAGATATAAGAATTGAACTCCATCATTCAAATATAATAATCAAAAGTATGAGATGGAGATTTTTAACAATCGGAACTATGTACAGTAAGCAGAAACAGAAGAAAAGGTGCTTTGAATAAAAAGCTTCCTCTTTTCACAGCCTGTTTCCCAGATGCCTGAGGAATTTGTTCAACTACTTATTTGTCTCACTTATCATAGGAATATTTTTGACAAAAATGTTCTTGTGCAGGGTTAGTTTTGTTTAGTTAATAAGATGGGCCTTTTATTTGCTTCCTATTCCTGCACAAAATAAAAATAAGAACAGAAAACATTGAAAAATACAAATGTGTGGTTAGAGAAAGAACACTGCATTTTTGTGGGGGTGATACTTGAATTAAAGATTGTCATTTTTAATAATCTAGGGCTGGACCTATGTATTCAGAAATTTGGAAGAGAAATAATGTGCTCATAAATACAGCATGAGTAAAGAGCATTTTCATTGTTCCAAATCTGTTGATTTGTGCAAAATTTGTTTATTTAATTTATTTATTTATTTGTTTGTTTGTTTATTCATTTGTTTGTTTGTTCATTCATTCATGTTTTTTTGCCTCCCATCTCACTATCAAGTGAATCTTTTTATTGTAATGTGAAATGACTAAAACATTTTTGTTCCCTGTTAGCCAGCGACTAGGATGATAAACTCCCACAATCTTTCTAGGATGAGCTATATACTTTTAATTTCAGTCGAAATTATTTTAGGTTCATGGTAAAACCAATAATGTGAAATGTCAATAATACGCTGCAGTCATTATTTAGTATGTCTATATGGCATCTGGTAGGCGAACATAAAGATAGTTGAAGTTGTGACTGACGATCATAATAATGTGCCACCTGAAGTGATGATGAATGCCAGTTGATTACAAAATATGTTCTCTGTGCTATAGCCTTTAGGCTCCACTGTGTTAAACTCAGGTTCATTTAACTGCAGATCATGGTTTACGATTAGATGCTTAACTGAAGTAAACAAGTTTAAGACATAAATACGTATAATGCATTAGGAATTGTAATGAAGTTCTTATATTTTGTCATTGTTGACCCCAAAATCAAAATACTTACCACACATGCAAAGAAAAGATGTCTCGTTTCCAAGGCAGGTGTGTACACAGTTTACGTCTCCTTTCCCTGATCGATTATCCTGCGATACTTGTGTTTCTGAGAAATTATTCTGAGTGGTTAAATTATTGGCAGCACAAGTCTTGCCTATAATAAAAAGAAAACAAAACCCATTCATTATTGAACTATTCTGCTATAGTGGATGTTATATGTATCTGGCTTTATAATGGTAAAACAGAGAAAACATTGACATAGAGATGAATATATTAATTAACTGAGCAAAAGAATGGTATTGCATTTGGGAATGTAAATTAAATGCAAGAAAAAAACTACATCATCGACATAAAAATAGTGAATATACTATAAATATTATAATGATTAAAACAATATAATATGATTAAAGAAAAAACTTACAAAAAGATTAATCTAATAACCATAGACAATAATATAACTTTAACTCAGTACTAACATAATTTATATTTAAATTATTTATTTATTTTATTTTTATTTTTTGTATCCCACCTTTATTATTTTTATAAATAACTCAAAGCGGCACATAGGTATATCCAACACACCTTCCTCTTCCTATTTTCCCTATAACAAAACCCTGTGAAGTGGGTTGGAGAGAGACTGGCCCAAAATCACTCAACTGGCTTTTATGGCTAAGTGGGACTTGAACTTATTGTCTCCTGATTTCTAGCTTGGTATCTTAACCACTATGCCAAATTGGTTGTCATATATCACCATTTTGTTTCATTAGTTCATTTTTAGAAGAGAGATTTTTCACTCAATCCCTTATCATTTCCATTCATGCTTGGACTACAGCAATGCGCTATACATGGGACTAGCGTTGAAGAACATTTGGAAGCTACAACTGGTGCCGATCCGATGGTGCAGACTGTTCTTGGGGTCCCTAGGGTGGTCCATGCCACACCATTGATTATTGCTTTTAAAGCCCTGCATCAAATGAGTCCAGGTTGCTTGATAAACTGTCTCACCCAATGGATTGACCCCACCCATGCTGATAGAAGTGGCATGCTGTGAGTCTGCTGGGAAATTTTGGCTGGGTGCAAGAGAAGAGCCTTCTTTGCCATGGATTCTGCCCTTTGGAACATCTTGGCCCATGAAGTAAAATTGGCTCCCACCCTTCTGATCATCCATAAGGGTTTGAAGACCCACTCTCCAACTGTCTTGGGGCACCAACAGGGGAGTATCACTGGAGGTGGCTGATGATTTAAGAGAAGAGCCCAACTCCCCTCCTCTTACTCTCTCCCATCTTTTGTTTTACCTTTACTTTGGATTGTCATTGTATTTTTATTGTTCTTAGAAATGTTTATCTTGTAAGGATTTATTGCTTTTAATACTGTAAGCCACCCAGATTCACTTCAAATCAAGATGGGGGCAAACAAATTTCATAAAATAAATTGTAAAATGGTACTCAGGCTTGACAGACCCAAAGTTCCTAATGGCATGGCAGACTAAATCTTTAGGACTATAGTTCATCATCAAATTGACATTCTTAAATATAATATTTCTTTCTGTGATTCAGTTGTCATTTTAATTTAAAACCAAAGCAACACTGAAGTTGGACACGATCAAATTATAAATGAAATAACATTTCTTACTACACATCAGATATCGAAACTTTTTTAAACTTGCTTTGAGAGTTACAATAAATATGAAATTGTATTTTCTGGTGAACTGATATTGATTAACACCTAGACCTCTTGATTCTCTAAAACTCAAAATCCTCATTTTTCACTTCACAATTCACATAATACCGAGAGAGGGAGGGAGGGAGGGAGGGAAGGAGGGAGGGAGAAGGGGAGGGGGAGGGGGAGAGTGAGAGTGAGAGAGAGAAATGAAATATACACATAATCTATTTTAATCTAATTCTCAAACAAATGTTGTAGATGAATCACACTAACACATAATCTGTCAACATCTTTCAATCAGCTACTATATTAGCAACCAATTGATTTTAAGTATCAGTTTTTTAGTTAGTCCAAGTACTCCATTAAAACATCTTCACTACTGCTTGGGTTCTACAACAAATAGACGTCAAAACTAAAGTCAAATTATATAATTAAAATTCTGATAAGTAAAGCTATCAACATCAAAGGATAATCCCAGATAGTCAAGGATATCCTTAGGGTTTAAGCTTACTCTAAAAAAAAATCCACTTAACTAATTTATCTCTCTTTATATCATACAAATTGGCAAGAGAAAAGAAGTATCATTGTGATTGCTAATATAAAACAGCATAGCCTTATTATTTTTGGAACAGATTTAAAGTGTCTTCATATTGCTTTTCTTAGCTCACATGTTTACCTCATCAAAGCCCAGGGAAACAGTAGATAACTGTTTAAGGAAGCTTACAAATGCTATAATTACCTGGTTGGTTTACTTATAAAGCTCAATTTGATGTGATCATAGCTGAGAGTAATTCCTGTTCTATATTTATTCTATATTATATATCTATATCATCTATATCTATATCTATATCTATATCTATATCTATATCTATATCTATATCTATATCTATATCTATATCTATATCTATATCTATATCTATATCTATATCTATATCTATATCTATATCTATATCTATATCTATATC